CCACCGAGTCGGTAGCAGAAGGTCGAAGCTTTATCAACGCCGATACTGACTCCTCTTCGATAATTACCAGGGGTCTGAGAAAACTGCGTAATTAGGATTATAGGGTTTAGGTTTCCTTGAAGTGGTTTCAGGCTTTCGGGTTTAGGGGCCTCGGGGCTTGGGGTTTGCGGCCGAAGCTTGCTTCACAGATGCTCTGAAACCGCGAGATGTGATCATCCTAAACCCGGAGTCTTGCAAACAAACCCCCGAAGCAGCAGGCCAGGCTTGAAAGTGAACAGCAAAACCCCCCAATTTCAGCTTCGGTTTCGGGCTTCGGGTTGAGGTAGGACGAACTCGTGTGTTTCTCATCAATGGTGGGACATAGAAGCTGCACAGATCTCGGCGGCATGCTGGGAGAAGTTTTGTGTTCAGATTTTTGTCAACCTAGGTCCTTGGGAGTGTATAACTTACGGATCCTTACCTAAGTCTCACAATCTGAGTCCACCATGTAGGGGTCTGGATTAATGAAGGTTCCTTGTTCGCTGAAACTCTCATGTAGATGAGGGCCGGAATGAAACACATCCGGGATGCTGGGCGAAAGCCCGTAAACGTTAGGCCCATCAAGGTAAACCTGCACCTAATAAGCCTTCGGGCAAGGGATGACCACCGTCCGAATGTCCTCATCGCCATCTGCGAGAGGCGATGCGTACCCTGGCAGATCCGTTCGTACCTGCTCTAACCCATTGCTCGGTAGTCGGGCTTAGGAATGTAGTGTTGCGGCTTAGTACCTGGGCCCTTAGGGCAATCTTGGAAATTCTCGTCAGCTTGTGGTACCCCAAAACAAGTAAGATTTTACAAACAGCTAATCCGGCCTCATCATCGTCGTCATCCAGCGGGCCTGGAACGCAAGTGAGTCACACAGCACTTCAGCTCACAGTGTCTGGGCGGCAATGATGCCTCCCTGCACCCCAAACACTGAAGCCCTATAGCACCCAGCCGAAGCGGTCTCTTGGGTTAACCAGGACTAATTCAGAGGTCTGTACGACTAAACTAAAATTTACCCTCTAATGATTCAGACTTGAGGAAGAATGCAGCTGCAAACAGAACCGCAGTCCAATGAATGAGTGCTGGCTAGAATAGCCATACTGGTGGTGGTGGTGGTGGTGGTGGTGGTGGTGGGTGGTGGTGGTGGTATTAGCAGTAGCAGCAGTGGCGGCAGCAGCAACAGCAACAACCACATCTCGACTGTTCGTTGATCTCACATGGTCACTTCTTAGTCGGGTGTTCCAGTCTTGGTCACCGCGACTGTGACGATAACGGTGCATCTTGTATTGTGTGATGTCAAAGTATGTCTGTTCTTCCTGAAAAACATGTGACTGGCTCTGGTATTTGGAGCTTCTTCGCGCATCGCCGAGTTCGCTTCTTTCTACACGCCCTGAAAGCCTCGAAGCAAGCAAATCTTAGAGATCAGTGCATGGCACTCCGTGCACCGAGTGTCAGGAGCTGACAGAATACTGCCTGAATGCTTCCAACCCTACGGGGCGTCGCCTCATCCACGCCCCGTACTGACTCCAAACCTACACAGACGCTGGAGGCATAAATTTCTAACCCTTCCACCTGAGCCATTAACTTTCAACCCTTACAAACCTACACCCAACTCTCCCAAAACTACCTAATCTCATACACTCTGGACCATGAGCCCCTATGTTCAAGCCTCTTGGAGCCAAAAATACTAAACAAAGATTACAGCAATAATTCCACTGTTCTAAAGGTGAAGCAGAAACTAATAACATTAGCAACAGTAATAGTACTTTTCGTGGTAATAGTAATAACGATCTTGGTAAGACTGGTAAAGACAATAAGTTGTAAGTAAGCATAACGACAAAAGTAGTGATAATCATGCTAATAATGGTAACACAATTTCAACAATGAAAAAGAATATTCATAATCGTAGTGTTCAAAAATGGCACTATGAATACTCATACTAGTCTGATAATCATAATAATGCACTTGACAAGCCTCCAAGCAGGCCCTGCTTCTCCTCGGGAGAGCAGGCATCCTCCTGTGGCTTGGGGTTTTAGAAGATTTCAGCGTTCATTAGGTAGGGTTGTTTTTGCCTCCTACATAGCAAGGACGATTAGGTAGGGTTTAGGGTTTGAGGTTTTGACGGACTTGCTAGAGCCGGTCGGCTCGCAGGGGTGAATGGGGGTTCATATAAGGGCTTTGCGGGTAAATAGAAGCCTGAGGGCTCTAAGAAGGTCAGGCAGTGGTCAAGCGCTTTAGGGTTTCCGGTGTGGGTTCCTGGTTTCGGGTTTAAGGCCTTGGGCTTAGGGTTTTCAGAGAGGGGTTTAGGGTTCAGCTTGTCTGGGCTTCGACCTCAAGCTAAAGTGCTTTTCAGGGTCCGGGGGCCTCTTCGGGTTCACGGTTTTAGGGAAGAACCTCCACAGCTTGAGACGAAGTCCTTGTCGTCACTGTCCGGTGCCTGGCAAGGAAAGAAATCCCAACACGACGGACACCTTGTCCTTCAACCCTTCCTACATGAGGCCGCTCATGAGGCTTGCATGTCTGTCTTGCCTTCAATCCTTCCATCCTAAACTCGAAACAGTAAACCCCACACCACCCCAACAGAAACACCGACTTCCAAAACAGGGTTTACGAGAGCCTTTCACGAAATGTGGTATCCATATTCGGAAAGAGCAGAATTGCCGTCTTGGCACTTGGCCCCTTCACTGGGCCTAGTTTAGGGATTGAGTGGTTTTGCGGTAGGCTGCAAAGCTGAGGGATTTTAGGGCTTAGGGCCCTAACACTCAAGTATTGGTCCGAGGGGTCCGGGTTTCGAACCTCAAGATTGCAGATTCCAGGTCGTGCCAGTCGCATACCATGTTCAATGCTTCGCAACTGCAGCTTGCCTGACGGATATTGCAAAGCCTCTATCCACAGCTGGCCAAGCCACACCCAAAACCCTAAGCCTGAAGATCTTGCAACCCTAACCCCCAAATCCTAAAGACCCTAACTAAAGGCCATACTTGGGCCGTAGGCCCAAACTCTCAGACTCCCCCCAAATCCAAAACCCCAAAAGCCTTAAGTCCCAAAGACCCCAAAGCCGCCGCAAGACGTGGGAGGTCGACCGGCCGCCTCCTGCCCAGTAATGTAGCGGGCCCAAATAACTACCAAAAATCTTTTGGGGGTTCCTTACTAGCATTAAAGTATCCTGGGCCCCAAAACCCTATTCTAATCATTAAGGCCCTTATATCAGGTTCCATTCAGGGCCCCAAAACCCTGTTCTAATTATTAAGGCCCCTATATTAGTTTCATTCACAAAAGGAAGGCGTTTAGGGTTCAAGGGCTTTGGGGCTTCAGGGCTTTTCTGTTTGTGGCGGGCGGTGTATTGATGTTAGGCTTACGGCTTTAGGTGAACGGTTTAGGTGTACGTGTCAGTAGCCCAACGGCTCACTTTGCGAGTCTTTGCAGGTGGCATGAGAATAGACCAGCAAATTGCCTGTGTAATCTGGAGCAGACGTAAGCTGGGACACGTTGCCAGACTCCTCCTGCTCAAATGTTGTACTCATTTGGGAGCTTCCGAAAAATAAGGGGTACTCTATTTTGGGGTCCTTATAATAAGAATCCTATTATTCAGGGTACTATATTGGAGTCCCCTAATTTCGGAAACCCCCATTTCAAGCATGCATTACAAGCCTCGTCTGCGCAAGCCCTAAACCCTGAGACCCCGGCTTGTAGACCAAAGCCCTGCACCAGAATACCCCAACGCCAGGCCCGAAACCCCAAAACCTAAAACCCTTAAATCTTATGGACACCTTGTAGTGGTAAGCTTTAAAGGACCCTGGTAAAGGAACCTCGGAAACTGTTAAAGGAACTTTAGGGTTTTTGGTTTAGGGGTTTAGGGTCCATAGGGTTTAGGTAAACTAAACCCTAAACCCTAAACCTTCTTAAAGGAACCGGACCTCCCCAACCCCCCCAAGGTCGGCTTGTGCCTTTGCCGCTCCCCTCGCACAGCTGAGAGAAGAGCTAAAGCCCTGCAAAGCGGGATCTGGGATTTCCAGGGTTTAGGGTTTAGGGTTTAGGGTTTAGGGTATGGGCCCTAACCCCTAAACCCCAAGAACTAAATAACCCTGTAGGATTTGGCCTTGGGTTTGCAGAGCCTAAAGTTTACGGCTTAAGGTTTTGAGTAGGGTTTTGGGGTTTCTGAGCAGTAGTGTTGTGTCATCTGCAACTGCCTAGAGCTGCCAGTATTTCTGTTAAACTTGCTTGTTGATGATGACTACACGAATGGCAGGCCCGTGAGTCTTCGTCCGTTTTCGTCGCTCGACGGCCCAGCACAACGACTCAGTGACAGCAGGGCCTCGAACTCACGAAACCTGTCTGGAACCTCTGAAACCTCTGAAGTTGATGTGCCCCAGTTCTCGAGTGACCCATTCTACTGGTTTGGGTGTTGTCATGCATGTGGCTTATGTGCGACACGCCTACTGAACCCGCAAGCCTAAGCTCTTGCCGACTTGAGCTGTGCATTGCAAAGAAGCTAACTCCTCAATCACGGTCGCTGACTGTAAATCTGACTACCGAAAATCCGAAACTCAAGCTTCGGGCCCCCAAAATTTGACCTGTGCCAGAAGTCTCGCAACAGGCTTCGCCACCTCGTGGGTGCAAACACTTCTATGCGGACTTGAGGAACTTAAGCGGGCTTGGGTCTAGCATCGTCTGTCCTACTTGGGCTGAATGCTAAACTTCACAGGTGGCCGCTGCTGCACATCCGGCTGTTTCTCTTTCCAGACGGAGGGGAAGCTTAATCCGAGAGGCAGAGCAGTCAGGCGATAGGAGGGCCGACAAATCAAAGGATCTGGGTCGACACTTACTCACCTCACACTCGCTCACTCAGGCTCCATGAGAAAAAGCCCCTAGATTTCGCATTCAAGATTTCGGCAGCTAGGGTTTAGGAGTTACGGTGGGCTGTACATATGCTCCCCCACCCCCCCGCTCCCAACGCCAGCCAAAATCCCCTTATCACTACCTTAAACCTTCAACTCTACGCCGTAAGCCTTATCAACCGTGAACCCTAAACCCTAAGCAGATTTGTGGAATGCCTGTTGGGCTGTCGGGCCGTAGAGCCGTAAAGGCACATAACCGAAAAGAACCGGCACATGAATGAAACCCTAAACACTAAAGCCCCCATTTAAAAGAAGCCAACAACTCCTTTCACACATGATCCCAAGACAAGAGACCTGTGTCAGCTCGTTTAAAGCCCTCAAGACTGTTGAGCAAACCTCAAGCACCGATCTGCACGACGATGTATGTGTTTGTTGAGATTAGGAAACCTGATCTAGACGCAAAACAGTGATTTTTAGTATGACGGCACTCAATCAAGGCTGCCCAAGTTGGAAGAACCCCCGATGTACACCCCAGCAGAGATTGGCCCGCCACTGTGGCACCAACACCTGGCTAGCACAAAGTCGTCGGGGAGTGTATTTATTTCACTAGGCTGTTCATAGGTTCAGGCTTCTTTACAAGAGCTGATAGCAAGCTGTTTGGGAATGAACTAAGTCTTTGGATAGGCACGGCTTCACGGTGAAACCCTCAACCCAATGATCCCAAGCTCCAGGTGATGGTGGCCGCGCACAGGAGACAAGGCTGGAATTTGCCGGATGCTTGAAGGTCATTTAGGGTTTTACGGTAAAGACAAGGGTTTTGGGGTTGTGGGATTAGGGTTTTGGGGTGTAGGGATTTGGGGTCTAGGGATTCAGATAAGGGTTCAGGTTTTAGGGTTCCCACTACTTGTGAGAGTGTCTTATAGTCCCTGTGCAGCACGAAGTATAGAGCCGAGGTGAAAGCAGCTACTGATAGCATTCCTTCTCGTCCCTATAGTTATAAAGTTACCGTACTGATTATAATGACATTAACAGTAACAATTAACAGTAACAGATATCATCACCATCGTCATCATCATCGTCATCATCATCATCATCATCATCATCATCATCATCGTCATCACCATCACCATCACCATCATCATCACCATCATTACCATCATCACCATCATCACCATCGTCATCATCATCATAACAAAGCAGCGCAGCCAGGACAAACACACCACCACCACCACCACCACTGCCACCACCACTGCCACCACCACCACCACCACCACCACCACCACCACCACCACCACCACAAACAACAACAACAACAACAACAACAACAACAACAACACCACCACCACCGCCACCACCACCAACAACAACACCACCACCACCAGCACTGCCAATTCAACTCTTCAATGCCGACTTACTGACTAAGTTGAAGCCGAGGCCATGGCCGGGGCAGGGGACAAGGACAGCA